CATTGTCCCTACCCCCCGATTATATTAAAATAAATAAATAAAATAATAATAATAATAATTCCGATCCCCACCCCACCCTGAAAATGCTGGTGCTGTGACTCCAAGCACTTAGTTTGGCAGAAGCTGACTTTGTTAACTGTATTTCTGATGTACCCAAGACTGTCAGACATTCAGAGCTTATGGACTGTGAAGGGCCAGCCCTGTCCCCCTGGAGCTTGGCATGGAACGATCCTGACAGTCTTTGCATGGGGACTGAGTGGGGAGCAACCTGGCTGGGATGCTGCCATGCCAAAGACTCAGCTGCAGTAATGAGCCAGAGGGCAGCCTGAATAGGGTGCCTGGGGATAATGGCTGTTTTCTTCCAGACATTTTGTGAAGTAGATCCTTGTTATTGTGTCAAGCTGTGAATAAATGACATTTTCCCGTCTGAGGTAAATATCTCACTGTTCAGTACTGAGGACCAGCCCCTTAACTGTACACAGGAGCAAAGCAGACAGGCTCATTTGGAAGCCTGTATGAACGGCAGGCTACATGAAATTCCCAAATACATTCCAGTGGTACAAACTCTGTAACCTCCCTACATATGTTTGCAGAAAACTGTGTGGTTATGATCCATGCAGGAGGCTCCTCCAGCAGCAGGTGGAGCTGTATGTTACGCTTTATCTCCATGGCTCAAAGCAGGTCTCTGTCGACATCAACAAGTTATAGCAGGCAATGCCAAAGTGATTTGGAGCTTGTTTTTGGACCCAGAAGATATTCATGTAAATACAAATTATACCTTTGCAAAACAGAAAAGTGTCTGTGGGGCCCTTGTGAAGAAATTGTCTCTATAAGAATGCTTAAAAGAAACAATGTTAGAAATATGGTCGAAAGAAGAATCAGAAAGGAATAAAGAAATAGGTGAGCTGTAGCTAAAATGGGAGAAATATGCACAAATATTATATATATATATATATATAGAAATAGGCTGGTAAACCAGGAGCTACAGAGATCTTTTCCTATAACACTCATGTGAGAGAGATTGAGGCATATATACTTTTATGGCAGTGGGGAAAGCTTGTCCTACTTCCGTGTCCACATTTTGTTTGCATTCCTCTTCTTCAGAGGATTTTTTGCATTTTCCTTCCTATAGTGTCTCTTTGAGTGCAGAGAGTTCTGTGTGATTCAAACCCATCAGCGGATCAACTAGTTTTTGTTACTCCACAAGTAGCTGCTGTCAAGCACATGTAAGCCATCCCAACCATCTGTTTGCTCTTCAGAAATAACTTCCAGAGGTACTTCCCAGTCCTCCTTTTGTTTCTGGTTTGTCATCTGGACACTTCATTATTATTAGCTAAAATCTGTTTCAATGCAGAAGTTGTTCTTTTTATTAACTTCAGTTCTCATTCTCCCCCCAACTGATTTTTTGTCCTTATCTTCTCTCCCATAACACTAAAACACATTTTTTACAGTGAAGAACTCATTATAACACAACCCCGCTACAGATCCTATCCTGTGACAATGTGATTTCGTTCATGGCTGTGTGTAACAGGCAATAGACCACTTAAAAAAGAAAGTTTTAATGTTAGTCAGGCAGAGCCTTGAGATGGGTGAATCGATGCAGCTATACAGAAGTTAGTGGAGATTCACTGCCCATGTAATTCTGAATGAAGTCTGTTCCCTCTAGCAATGGGTGTTACAGGCTGATCTATTTTATTGCCTTCACTGTTATCAAGTTGTCTCCTTGATAAATTAATAATGTAGTTTTTAAAGAGCTAATTGATATTACAGTACAAAAGCCACAATTTAATTAGGAATACTGTAATTGCTTCAAGAAAGATTCTAATTCATGCATTTAAAACATGAACTTAGGAACTATTGCACTTAAAGGGTATATATTTCAAGTTTATACATCTTCTAATCAATTTAAACATTTTTTAATACTTTTTTTTTTTCCTACTGAGTCTACACCTTTTTGTTTGTTTGTCTCTTTTTTCTTTTTCTCTTCCCTTTTCCTTGAAGTATTTTTGGTTTTATAATGAGGCTGCCTCGGCTAGCTGATGGGATGAAGGCTGATATTGTTGCCCTTCCATCCCTCAGAGTCTTTAAAAGATAGAGTAAAAATGTAAAAAGTTATGTAAAATAAAACAAAACAAAACAAAACAAAAAAAAACACAGAACTTTTTATGTAAAAAAACATAACTTTGAACTTTAGTATAGATAGAGAACTCACGCTTCAACATGCATTTAAGTGCCCAAAGTGAGCTGTCAGGATAGATCTTTCACCCATGTTTTGAGAGTCCTCCAGATTAAGACCTCTGTCTCTACTTCCTAATTGGGACTTCCCTTGTTAACACACACGTATTCCCTGATCTAACTTCATTCATTCACAGATAGCTCTTGAAACAGCTCATACTATTATGCAGAAGGAGTAATTTACTACAGTCACTTACTGTAGTGTGTTAAGTGTCAAGGGAGAGGGGAAACATCCTTTGTTTAATTTTGCATTGATATCCGTGGTGGCTGCAGTAAGGAAATAAAGCCCATTGTAGCCTCCCAGGCCGTACCAAACTGCAGGCCTGTTGGGCATAACAATGCTTTATAATGGAGCTTCCCAGCAGGCTCCACAGACTGATTAAAATGTTACTGCTTCTCTCTGTGTTATAACATAAATTGGGGAATTCCCCCTTGGTCAGAGTGCCAGGAGCCTTTGCAAATTGTGTTTGACAACTGGCCCGCAGGAACCGCTCAGCCAGAATAATTGGAAATGCCAACTTCTCTGCAACTTTGGAGCACTTCCTAACCGAACTTTTGGGGTTGGGTAGAATACAGAATCTGTGGCTGTGCTCTGTGTGTGCTCCAATATAGTTTATTTGCAACCAGGAAGTGCAGAGCCTTTTTTTTTTTTTTTTTTTTTTTTTTTTTAAATTGTGACGGTCAGGAGGGGCTTTGGTTTTCACTTGTAATGAACAATGCTAACTAGACACACTGCCAGAATTTCAATGTGCTGAAACAATGCAACATATACCCAGATGTCCTCATGGCTTCAGCAGTTGTGGTGAGACCTGGGGACTGAAACTGCCTGCCTTAATATCTCCACGTGTAAAATGAACTTGCTTGAAATTGTGCTTTCAATAACACAGTAGAATTAAAGTAATTAAATATTCATTTCCTTATTGTTGGAATGCTTCATGCACTAGTGCATTTGGGAGTTTGGGGAAAAGGTCTCCTTTTTCAAAGAAAAATGTAAGACAAAAGAGAAGAATAAAAGAAGGTTGGATGTCAGCTAGTCGATGAGTAATTCCTAGCATAACGTTGTCCAACCATTAGAAGTCTCTCCATCACTTATGTCATCCTTACTGATAGCTTCAGAAAAGAGGCAAAAGAAAGGGTTGGCATGGGAAATGTGCTGTGTTTGTGTCCTTTTAAGAAGGGAAGAAGAGGCTGTTTCTCAAAGAAGGGAAATTAGGGTTAAAATGTTGAGTGACCGAGACTTAAAAGGACCTGCTGATACTTATATATAAGGTGCATAAAGTCTTGAAGGAGGAAGGAGGATGAAAAGCAAAACAAACAATAGTAAGGGTATTAGTTAAATCATGTGTTCTGGAAAATGCTGCACTCTGAAACCAAGTTGGATTTAGGAATGACAGTGGAATAGCATTGACTTAGTGTTTGTTGATGGCAAATCCTTTACAAATTGTCACAGAACATGACTATTTTCTTCCTGATCATTCATTTTAGATAGAGCCTGTAATGAAAGTCCATGTTTTATCTGTTGCACTACCTAAATAAGGGACGCGATGATTATTAACAGATATTAAAAGAAAAATGACCCATACCATCAAAGTCAAATGCCCACTCAGAGTTGATATGGGCAAAAGGCCGTTTCCTGGTCCTTCCAGCTATCAGTGCAGTACTGCTGTAAGAAGCGATCGCTACAGAGAGGAATGGTAACTGCCTGCAAAATGTTAACAAGGTGCTGTCAATCTGCATTTGTTCCGGAGCAAAAATGTGTTACATCCAGGGGTGTGATTATCATTCAGTAGGAGGTATCATAACAAGATCCAGTAATGTCTACCTAGCTTGGAGGGCAGCCTGGAAGATGAATGACACAGTTTGGACCCCCAGAACTGAGCAGTTGTGGTCCTGGACAGCATGGGTTAGGTAACAAAAGTTCTCTGCTTTCAATATGTAAAACAGATTAAATTAGCATTGGTAGACCCCTGCAGAGCAGTCAAGCCAGCTGACTGTCACGAAGATGTATTTTGAGATTATATGGTGGTACTTAATCTCCGGGGTTTCCAGTTCAGCACTTCTCTCAGGCAGAAATGTTTTCTCTCCTTCTTCCTTCCTCTTTCTCTCTTCCTTTCTCCCCCTTTCTTCCTTTCTCCCTATCTTTTCCTTCTTCCTTCCTTCCTTCCTTCCTTCCTTCCTTCCTTCCTTCCTTCCTTCCTTCCTTCCTTCCTTCCTTCCTTCCTTCCTTCCTTCCTTCCTTCCTTCCTTCCTTCCTTCCTTCCTTCCTTCCTTCCTTCCTTCCTTCCTTCCTTCCTTCCTTCCTTCCCTCCTTCCCTCCTTCCCTCCTTCCCTCCTTCCCTCCTTCCCTCCTTCCCTCCTTCCCTCCTTCCTTCCCTCCATCCTTCCTTCCTTCCTTCCTTCCTTCCTTTGGATGACAAGCAGTAGTCTTTGACGATCTCTTCTCAGCAGTCAGGCGCACTGCACTTGCACTCCCTGTACCTGCTGACATAGCCCAAACAACCAAATAACCTTTGACATTCCGGCTGTGTTCCCTCACCCAGTGTCTTGGCATGACCTGTTTAAGTTTCTTCTTTCCACTGGAAAAATTTTGGGAGATAATTTTCTTTTCTGCTACTGCTTGAATGCTGGTAGAATTGACTGTGCCAAACCAAGAACAGCTACTGAACGGTGCACTGTTTAAGGTGTTACCTCAGGGGAGATGCTTAGCGCTGGGTGCTATCATTATTTGTCACCTAGCAGCTCGTTACATCGTTTGGCAGTTTTTTGGGTGTTGCTGTGATCTCAAAAGGGTTAACCGAAAGTCAGCAGCGATGCTGTAATCCTCCAGGACTACCAGCATGCTGCAGTGTTGTTGTGTCGGATCAGGGGGTTTCAAAGGAAGGAAGCTGCGTTAGCTCCTGCAGCTGCCTCGGTCATGTCTGTCATTTTGGGTCTCTGCTCCTAACAACATGGCTGACGAAGCAGGTAAAACAGATGACCGCCATGGTGTGTACAAAGCCTTCATATTCCTTCACACCCACTGCTCTCAGGAAATGCACTGCCCCGTAGTAGGAGCCATCACCTCCTCTGAAAACAATTGCCGAGGGTTAGGAACGTGCAACCTAGTTGGGGGGGAAAGCAAAAACATGTTTGACAAACAACCCTCGTCCTGACTGCAGCGATGAAAACAATGCAGGTAAACCCAACTGCCCTCTGCCCTACTTCTTGTGTGCCGTTGGCAATGAATTCTCTAGCAAAATAACCAGAGGGAGCACTTTTTCCACAACATTGCTATTTTCTAAAATCTGCATTGGGTTCGTCCTTACATTGACATTGCAACCATCTGGTATGAGCGGTTTGATATGAAGTGGGGCAAATCCACCCTGTAGCTTCTAAAGAATCACTCTTAGTGAACCATGCTAGTTTTCCCTTCTATTTTTAGAAAGACTTCATGTTTTAAATTGGGGAGAGAAAAAGTGATTTGGAAATATCAGACCTGGAGTTTAACTTCAACTGTGTTTGCAGTCATGTAATGCAGCTTCAAGTTATTTTACTGGGACATATATTATCAAAAAATCTGATATATTTAGATACATAAAATCCTTGCAGGTTTAACAAAATAAAATAAAAATAAAAATGATTTTTTTATCTTCTAGGCAGAGAACTGAGGCGTGGAAAAGGTGAATCCAAAGTCACAAAAAAATGTCCATGGCTAGGCTATTGACCTAATCTCTGGATTAGTCTCCTCTGCCTGTCTCTCCCAAGGTACTGACAATCATGATAGGAAAAGCTATATTTTCTTGGTAAAGTTTTTTTTTTTTTTTTTTCCCCTTTATAAACCTCTGTTGCATTGAATGTACTCAGCTTCAGGATAATCACTGAGCAAGGCAAGCAGCAGGCCAAGGGCAAAGCTGAGACAGTGACCTATATATTCTGGGATGCATCGTATGCATGTAGTGATTCAGAGTGGGTTTGCTGGCACCTCAGAACAAGGGGTCTGGTAGGAAGTGTCCTGTTTGCATTCCTTCCTCTGTGAGACTCAGAGAGGACAAAACTTCTTCTACATCTTCCAGTCTTACTGGGAGACACACAGAACACAGAGATGGCTCTACTGGATGAGACTGCAAAGCCAGATTCCTGCCTAATACAGTGGCCAATAATGAATGTTTAGGGAAACACAGTAAAAAAGGCAAGTATGCTCTTCCCATGGTGTACCTTTCCATCTTCTAGCAATAGGTGGGGAGGGATTTTTAGATTTGTGGTTTGCATCCAGACTGTCACATTTAACAGGGCTCAGGAGACATTTCTTCTATGAATGTGTCTAGTCCCTTTTAATCCATTTTTCCTTTTGACCTCTGCCATGTCCTGTGTCAATGAGTTCCACTGCTTCTATCTGCAGTCCATGGAAAAACACTTCCTTTTGTGATTTTTTAATCTTGAGGCTCCATGATTTCCACTGGGGGCTTCTTGGTCCATTTTCTGAGAAGCAGTGAATAGTTGTTCTGCTTGCCACAGATTCTTTAGATACCTGATAATTACCCTAGGTTGTATTTTCACAGAATCACGGAATGGTTGAAGTTGGAAGGCACCTCTGGAGAACAACTAGTCCAAACACCCTGCCAAGCAGGGTCACCTAGAGCATGGATGAAGGGCCTGAGGGAAACCTTCTATTTTCTTGATCATTTTCTTCTACTTTTCTAGTTCTGCTATAATATTTATGATATAGAAAGACCAAAAGTACATTCAGTCAGACTATGAGTGCACCATGGTTTAATGTAGTGGCATAAAAGTGTTTTCTGTTGTATTCTTTACTCACTTTCTGGTAGATCTTAACTTTCTCTTTATTCTTCTGGCTAATGCTAAGGATTTGTGTAACATTTTCTGAGAAATTTCCACAGAGGAAGGAAGAAGAACATTTCCTATGGTCCGTATCATCTAAAGACAAAACAAACTCATTTGAACAAGAAAACATCAATATGCTTTCGTGGCTTTAAACGTTTTATTGTTGGCTGAAGCAAGCTCACCCTCCTCCTTCCAAGAAGGATTTGGAGGGGTATGATGGAGTGGGAGATATCACAGATCAAGAAAGCCACGCAAAGTGAATGCAGATGGAGTGAATGTCATTGTAGCCCAAGAATTTCACTTGAAGGTCAGGAATGTAGAGAAAATGTAGATTGAGTGTGGTAAAGAAGAGCTGTGGGTTGTTAGGCTCTCTTGGAGGTAACAAACTTGCTTAGGTCACTGCATTTTACATGGTGAGATTGGGCAGAGGTTGAATAGATTACAGGGCTGTGGTATTGGGAAAGCAAAGGTAGTTGTATCGATTGTTTATCTGACAGTGATTGTGAAAAAGAGTTGCGGAATTCTCCCGTGTCAAACAAAAAGCTTGGATACTTTACAGCTGCCTTAAAGCTGAAGCTATTAACCACACTATTAAAGTATGATTTAAATACCAGATAGGGTTCTGGTGATTTGGCTTTGTCAGCACTGATGCGATCTGTGAGCTAAACTGGTGTCCCTCTCCAACTGCAGTTTAAAAGCAGGGCTTTCTTCCATCCCCTTCCCTGGCTAATGGCAACACGAGACGCATTCGTTCAGATTCATGGCTGCATAGATGATAAACCTTGCTATCATAGGGTGATCATGAAGAAGGACATCCTTGGCTGGTGTGCAGGTCATGTCATTATCTCTCTTCTAGCCTCCTTAAAAGTTCTTGGAGGTAGGTAGCAAAGTGCTGCAGCGTGCCCACAACACCCTGAATGCAGCCCCAAGGCAGCAGCCATGTAGGGCAGGCCATGCTTTCCTTTGCCTTAGGATGAAGCGGCTCATCAGCCAGCCAAGGGCAATGGCAGCAGAAAGGCAACATAAAGCCGTCCTTGTTTTCCTGTTCTGCCCTGCTGAGTCCTGCTTTGGGGGAGGGAGGATCTGTGCCAGAGGAGGACCAAAGGTTTCCTCCTGCAGATTTGTCAATGCCCTTTTTATTAATTTCCAAGGAACACAGAGACAAGCATTTCCTGCACTCAGCAGCATCCCCTGGCTGCCTTACGAATGAGTCACATAATGCAGCTGCCTGAGCTTTCTTGCAAGGTGTGGCAGCATTTGCCATCAGGACATCCAGGCTCTCTCTGTAGCTCTCCTGCAATTTACGCGTCAAACCCGCAGTAAATCTACAGTTCTTTTCACCATTAATAGCTGTCTTGGGGGGGAAAAAAAAAAAAAAAAGACAAAAAAAAAAAAAAGACATTAAATGAGAAGTCATTATTGCTCATTCATATGTGCTTGGAGCTGTTCAGCTGGGATGTGAGCTCAAACAAACATTTGAAAGGCAGTAGGCAATCACCCTGGCCAGACAGCATTTTTAACATGAGCTCTTAATTCCACTCTAAGTTCCTGTGGTGCTGCACCATCTTCACCTTGTGAATTGCGATGAGAGAGCAGAATCCAGCCCTTAAAATAGCATATGATAGCCCTGTTTCTACCAAGATGATTCATGCAGAAGATAGGGCAGCAACCATTACGAAGGAAAAGTTGAGGTGGTGTTTGCGAACTGACACAGCTCCAGCTAGCTTGAAATGCTGTCAACAAAAGGGCTGCGCTGACAGCTCCTGCAGCAGAAGGGATCTATGGGAGACTGGCTGGTAGGAGAAGTTTTGTTGTATATGAGAATAAATTTATCTTCATAAAGAAATGCACGATTTGTCACAATTGTAAAAGTATAAAAAAGACTACTGGCCCAGCGGCGGGAAGCTCGCACTCCCCTCTTCGCAGCACCCAGGTCACCTGCAGCCTCTTGGTCCCCTGAGCCTGACCTGCAGCTGCAGCTGCAGCAAAGCTGAAGAACTGAGGTGAATTAAGGCTGATTTCTCCTCTAGGGAAGAGCACTGACCTCCTCAAACACTCTGGGCCAAATCCATCCCTGGTGTGACAGCACTGGAGTTACATCGGTCTTAATTTTGGCAGAAATCTCTGCTCAGGCTTTCACAGCAACAATACTGTGTGCCTTTCTGAAGTGAGGGTGGTGAAATGAATCAGGTCAAAGGAGACTAAACACTGGGTAAAACCCTTGATCCCAGTTAGGAGTTTTGCCTGCTCGGGGACAGGGTTTGGCTGGCTACGGTAATCATGGGGTGGTTACTGTGTACTCCAGACATTGCATAACTGCCCATTTAATTTACTGCGAATGTTATTCAAAGCTCAGGATTTAATTCTTTTGAACATTAAAGCGTACAGCCCAGTTAACCTCTTCTTCATAAGTCACTGCGTATTATTTCCACAGAAGTGTTATAATTTTTTTTTCCTCTGGTTTAAATTACTACTTTGGTAATTTTTTTTCCCTCTTAACTATTATTAGATTTTTGTTTTCAACATGCTTGTGATGTGCATGTACTCTCTCAGCCACTGTAAAATTTCCCATGTCTACCATCAACTCTTCAAAGATCTCCAGATATCAAGATAAATACCTGGATTTGTTCTTAGATAAAGTACCATGTTTTGGTCCCATGACAAAAGTCAGAATATAATCATTCCAGTAGAACAGGAACAATTTGTAAAATTCTGACTCTTAAAATTTTTTACACTGCCTGTGTTGTGCTGTATTCCAGATTGAAATTCTTGACAATTCTGTCAAATTTGGTAAAAATAATTCATCACACATTTTACTCTGTATTCATTTAATTATTACTTAATTGTCATAGTTACAAACCATTTAAACCCCCTTCCCCCTTTCTTTTTCTGAAAAGTTTTTGCTCTTAAAAGGTACTTCAGTGTTTTCTATATATACTTTAAACCCACACATTCTTCATCATTTTATTTTCTTGCATGCTCTGCAGGATCCCATTCTTCGCTTTTGCAGTTTGCTCAGCTGAGTTCTGGCCACTGGACCAAGAAGTGTAAAGATGCATAGTTGCAGAACAGCTCATTTATTTTTCCACTGGGTTTGTTTACTTTACCATTGCTTCTCTGCTCTTGACTCACAGAGGTACAGATTCTACCTTGAAGAACAGCACCAGGAGGTAAACTTGTCTTTAGTTTAAAAGTAGACAGATGGCTTTTAGTGCTGTCCCTACTGGGATCTGAAGGTCAAACAGGGTTGCTTCTTACCTCTGATGATCTGTTCCAGCTCTTCAGTTTAATAAAAAATTATGTTGATTATTTAAAAGAAGGAATTCATTTCATCTGAGCTCTCTTATCTGTATCATATGTGGAAGCTTAACTGTTAGCAGTAGAAATTTTATTCTCATTAAAGCCATTAAATGGCTTCTGAATACATGGAAATGGCAGATCTGTTGGAAAGAAAGAATTTACATAGAATTTACTAAAAATATAATCTGCCATCCTTTTCAAAAAAAGGAAACAAGTCACACTCAAACGGCAATATAACCTGCTTCAGTGATATCAAACAGTTTGTTTTGGATTTGTTTGGATTTTATAATAGTTGATGTGTTAAGATTTCTAGGATTTGCTAAGGTACTCTTTTTATTTCACCGGTGTTTATGTTTCTTAAACACTTTGTAAAGAAACAATGGCTTTTTTTTTACTAATGCACAAAATAATTGAAATATTATTCTAACAACATTTGTCTCCCTTTGCCAGAGCAATTACATCATAGTAAACTACATCACTTTAAAGCCTCCTCAGTAGAATAGAATGAATATTGTAGCAAAGATTCCCTTCAGAGGAGATAGTAAAAGTAACAATACCAAGTTTCACAAACTTGTCAAAGTGTTCATTAAAGTAGCGTAAGGTTTTATTTCAATGTCCTCGACACAAAACATCGCAAGTTTTCTCTGGAAAACCTAGTAATTTTTTTTAATTATTTTTATTTTTGAAAAATATGGCTCGTTTATTTATTGATTTTTAAGTGGTTAATTCTGAAACAAAATGTTAGATGCCCTATGGGAATCTTTTATTTTTTGACTGAAAGAAATGCTATTTCAAAAGTCACTTTGGGCTACCTCATAATTAAATTCCTTTGTTGTTTTTTGTTTTGTTTTTTCCTTTTCAAAAGTACATGTGACATGACAAAATAAGCTGTTGGCAAAATTCTGCTCTTTAGATTGATGATGTCATGTAAAATGGACTCCTTAAAAACAAAAATTAGACTCTTGTGTATATCACTGATTTTTTTCTTCCAGTTATCAGCAGCATTCAGTGCTTAGCACTTGTATACCCATCTTTCATTTTCAAATGCCTTGCTTGAACATACAAATGGATCTGATTTAAATCCTCTGCACAACCACAGCTGTAGCATGTGAGACTGTGGAAAGGAGGAAGAAATAGCCCTACAGACTTGTTACTTCTCCCAGTAAACCCAAAAGTGATGCAACTTTTGTATGAAGACCTAAAAACTGTTAATGAAGGTACTGACTCATCCGTTCTTGAATCAAGCCTTCAAATCAGTTTTAGTGCCCAGTAGTGCCAAGAAAAGAACTTTGACTATTCCAAAGCAATGCCCAAGCTGTTTCTTCCAGAGCTCAGACAAACTGAAAAGCATTTCTGTGAAACAGCGGGAGAATTCTGGGTAATGATGGATGAATAAATATGCTCAGCATCCTGCTTTCCTTCAGAATTCCTATGTACAGTGCACTGTAGTGAATATTTACATTTCAATACCCAGCATGCTTCCTCTGCTCTTTCAAAGCTGTCTTGAATGAGTCCTGGAGCTGCCCAAAGAGGGTTTGGGCTTTACTGGGTATACGAGTATGGTTTAAAACAGGGAAGTTTGTTTTATTCCCTGTCCCAAAACTGTCAGAATGTAACAGTGTAGCTCCTTTGCTAAGTAAGTAGTCAAAGATGCCTCTTTCTTGACAAATCTTCTCCTGAAAACCATACCACTATAACACTACTTGAAGTTATTTAATTTATTAAAAAGAAATATGACTTCATGTGACAGATATGAGTTGATGGTTTAATAATACATGCTACTGGATGCAAAATGGTGAAATATCTCTACTGTCATGTTTTTCATTCTTTTGAAAAAAAAATATATCCTTACTCTAGAGTGACCTCTTGTTTGTCTATCAAGGCATTAGTCAACTAGCTGTCTAGAAGGAGAAGGTCCGTTTAAAACAAGTCAATATCTTGGATTGGATTTGTTTGCAGAGGCTTACAAACTTGCATGAAGACCAACACAGTTACTTTAAAAAGTATGTAAATGTTGAAAACATTTATTGTAAGAATCTCCCAAATAATGTGACTGATTTGCATGTCTTCTAAGTGGTCAGTGACACAAGGTGTGTGGCTATGCCTTTGCCACTGATCAGACTAATTAGATCCTGTTAATGCTTCTGTGTTACAGAAGCATTCGTGTTGGATGTTGGGCTAGGCACAGTAGGTATATCAATTCCTCTGGGAAAAAATCACATGTCCTAAAGAATTTATGAGCTGGGAAGAAAAATTTACTATTGTAAAAAAAAAAAAAAAAAAAAAAAAAAAAGGAATGAAGACAATGTTAGATCAAGAAAACAGAGAGAAAAACACACAAATCCATCAATCCTATGTCATTGTGATTTAAATGAGTTTGCATAATGCAATGGTTTAAATATTTCAGTTTAAAAACAATCAAAAAACAAAACAAAACAAAACAAATAAACAAACAAAACATAGCAAGACCTTCAGTTCTGCATCCATGAAGAATCACGAGCCATCACTCCACACACCAGCACAAACATGTCGGAACCTGTGCAGAAATCCAAGGGGGTGCACTCGTTGCATGAGGAATAACGTTGAAGAGGCACCATAAAGTTAGTTATATGCAGATGGATGAAATATGCATAAAATAATTGCAGCTGTGATCACTCTATAAATAGTTCTTTTAATAAAGACCTGGTTTAGTGTGATAAGTATGTAACCCTTTCATGTAATTACTTAGTATAGGCAATATTAAAGAGGATGAATCTCTCCTATATCCAGGAGCTGTGGTGCCCTATGTGAAAGAGATAACTGAAAACCAATCAGAGACTGAAGCATTCTGAACACACCATGTTTTAGTTTGGAAATAAGAAGGGAAGCCCGCCTAAACATCATATAAAATCAAAAATTCCCATATAAGTTATAGCTTGGAGTGAGTAGGCATACAAAATATTGGAGCTGAATCCATTTTATTTTTTTTTCAAGCAAAGGGAAAGACTCTCATTGTTTTCACTGGATTGTGGTTACTGGATTTGGATTTTAGTAGACTGTAAGAATTGGAAAAATGATAAGCTTTTCA